ACGGGGCCCAACAGCATGGTTTACGGGGCCCAACAGTATGGTCCAGTCTGCTTACGGACTAGACACAAGCCACACCCAACTATAAAATTGTTGATCAACATTAATATTCAAATGATATACTTGTTGAGAATTGTAAAATCATACAATTTTGTCAACGAGGTACTTTGCACAAGTTAAAGAAGCAAAGCTCCAAAACATGTCATGTGTCACAAAAATATATGTATTAATTAAAGGGTTATGCGTAGAGTTGGGTGTGCAGGAAAGTGGGTTAAGGTTTTCAAAAAAAATGAGGTAGGGTATTCAATATAAAAATTTAGACTGAATTACATGTATGTGTATATATATATATATATCTATTTATAATAAAAAAATTAAATAAGGGTGTTCAATTGAACACCCAATATATGCTGTAGTCACCTCTGATCATTCGAATTATGAAAATTATATAAATAGTAACCGTATTCGAATTATAACAATAACAATTCCGATGAACAATCACTCACTTTTGATAATCTAAAATTGTATCAATCACGTTTATTAGAAATAGATTAGGAGGTTATAATTCTCATTTTCTATGTCAATCGTTGAGAGTAAATATAAGAAGTGTAGACTGTGAATCAAGTGTAAACATTCAACCAAAGGCGGCTTGGGGATTGACCTGCACCGATTTTCATAATAAAGATGGTTTGGAGAGTTAAAAGTGATATATGTTATAGTTGAATAGATTAAAATGTATAATTATATAGATGAAGGAATGAAGTGATATTTGTTAATAGTAGAGGGGTCTTGATGTAATTAACCCTTAAAAATAAAATAAAAAAATTCATTTAAAGCTTCTCTCCAATCCTTCATTTATTTTTCTTTTTTATTAATTTGAATAAAAATTAATTAAAAAAACTTTATTTGATATGAAATGCTCCAATAGTTTCTTCATCAAATTTAACTAAAAAGTTCGATTTGGTACAATTTTTTAATATTCAATCCTCACTTACTAAAACTTTCATCAATTTTTTCTAAAAGTTTCAAACTGAGTTCCAAAAGCTTCGTTCATCAAATCTTGTGATAAACTTGTTTTTATTTTAATTTGATGAAAAAAATTTGTGATAACTTGATTTTATACAAGTTTGGTGAAAGATTAGAGATCTCCCATCTTTACTCTATTTTTTCATCAAATTTTAATGAAAATTTGATTAAAAGTTTTATATGATATTAATTCTTATTCTGTTTTTCATCAAGCCACTTTGAAAAAATTTAAATTTATCCTAAAATTTTGTTTTAACTAATTTTATGAAAGAAAATCATTTTCAATTTTTATTATTTTAAATTTGAGTAAAAATATGACTATTAAAAATTTGATAAATAAGTTAGCTCATTCTTAATTTGGTAAAAAAATTGCTCTCTCTTACTTTAATACAGATTTGATAAAATGATTGAATGAACTTTTAATTATTTTTCCATTTAATTTGAATTATATAAAAAAAATTAATAAAGAATTAAAAATGCTTGTACCATACAATGTTTATTTTTTCTTTATTTAAAAAACCATATGTGAATTAACTGGCTGGGTTACTTTGAACTTAGAAATGCTAAATAAAAACTTTTTTTTAATGAAAATATAAAAACTAACTTTTTTTTTTTGGTTGGGTTATGTACGATAAGATGTTAGAAGGTTAATATGTTAAATTATAACGAAAGGGTCATACTTGTTCCATCAACTCAAATTCCAAACCTCTCATCATTTCATTGTCCCAAAAAATCAATTTTAGCCATATTTGCCTTAAAAACTTACTTTTATACCAAATGATTTTCATAAGGGGACTGTTTTTCTACTTTAACCATTAACGACTTGTGAAAATTCTCCATACTCTTATTATCTTGATGACTTGGCTCTTTAGAAATAGATGTATCATGTTTCAATCTCGAGCCACATTATTTTTATACCTTGTCTTTTCATAAGTGTTTGCACTCCTTAGAGCCATTGATAAAATTACAACTACAATCTTAGTTCAAAACAACTGTTGCTTGGGGTTCAGGGGATGAGGGCCATGGTACATTACAACTACAATCTCAGACATTATCGCATAAACAATCTGTTGTAAATGTCTGAAGTCCCAAAAAAAACCTAATTTTGAACTTGAAATTCTCCAATGAAAAATGCAAACCCTAATTTATCCGAAACAAATCTCAATGTCGATGATGGAATGGAGAGGTGCAACGATGTTTTGAGGTCTTTGTCTTCTTCATTCTTACTATAGCTCTCACGGTGGCCTTCGTCTTCTTGGCCTCTTCCGCGGTGTTCTTCGCTTCTCTCTCTTCTTTGCTTCCTTTGTGGTGCTAATGTTGAATACAGAATGCGTGTGTGTGTTTCGGACTGTTGGATCAGATTAGTTTTATGCCAAAACAAAACCCAAAAAAAAAAAATTACTATAAACAGTTTTAGAAAAATTGTATTATAAAATGGCTTTTGTAAAGCTGTATTCTAAAACGGCTTTAGTAACACTGTTTTATGTTATAAAATTAATTTTGGCAAACAATATTTATGATGAAAATATAAATTGGGAAAAAAAAATATTACTAAAAAACAATTTTACGAAAAGTATTTTTTATTAAGTCAAAATTAATTACACGTTAAATTAAATTACACTTACACCCCTGAAATTTGAATTTAATACATATCAACTCTGACATTTGGAAAATTACACGGACCCTCTGTCATTGTAATTATTTAGACAAAATGAAAATATTAAACTCATGCACTTTCTCTTTTCTTTATTTGTTTTACTTGCTCTGGTTTTTTCTTCCCTTTCCTTTGCTTAATTTTTTTTGTTTTTAATGTAATTTCTTCTATTTTTCTACCAAGAGTTGTTGTTTTTATATAAACAAAGGGGTTTGCGAAATAAGACTATTAACTGCAGGGATAGGAATGTAATTTTCAAAACGTTCAGGGAGTGAGATGTAATTGGACCAAATCTCAGGAGTGTCAATCTAATTTACCCACCAAAAAAAAAAAAAGATCGAAAAAGCCCTTGTTACGTATGTGTGATTTTGTTTTTGCTTTTCTTTGACATATACACTGATTTTTTTGCTTAGTTTGGTTTGTGAGATATAATTGTTTCTATAGTGAGAAACAAGTATGAAAGGCCATTGGCAATTTTCTTACGATTGTTGTGTGGCCCTGAGAATCTTAGTTCATTATCGAATCTTAAACTTTTTTTTTATCTAAGTTTATGTATAATGGAATGTGTTTGGAGTTCGCTTTGCTGTGTTAATTAGTAACGGTACAATTATGTTGGTTTGGATGCTCGCTTTGACAATGGAATGATCACTACTCACGAATAAACAAATAGTTTGATGGGAAGAAACCAAGTCCAGAAAGTGATGATGAAAGTACATTAGACCAGTTCCAATTACGTGTTCGTTTTTTATTGGTCTGAGGATCTTATGTTGCTTCAATTCATGTACCTTGTTTTGATTGAAATGTAGGAATATGAATTACAGACAAGAAGCCAGCATGATTTATGTTTGATTTGTTACAAACACATTTTATTTTTAAAGAGAACATAATTTTAGGTATGATTTGAGGACAGTTTTGGATCTGCATTTGTTGGGATCTATGTGAAATCAAACACCCTATATAGTTGTTTCAATTTTAAATTCAACTGCTTTGAATGCTGCAGAGTTAACTAAAATGTGGTTAATTTGCACTGTATATTTTGTTATTGGCTTGACTTAGAACTTATACATTTTGGTATTTTCAATAAGCCACCATGTGTGTGCATGCACAACTTTCACACTTGCTTGTTGTCTGTTTGTGTGTTTTCTTGATACTTCTATTATTTACATTTATTGAGATTTCTCTTCCAATTTGGGGCTGTTGATTTTTCTGTAAGAAATTAAAAAATTAAAAGAAAAATCTCTTATAAGCAAAGTTTTCTTTTGGTCTGGTTAGAAAAAAGGAAAGAACCATCTTTGTTTCAACGTTTCCTTCGCTGGTAGAAAAAAAAGCTTCATAATCATGTATGCATGTATATTTTGATAATAAGAAACAAAGTGGAGGATGTGATGAATGAATTTTAAACCAGTTCCAGCTACATGTTCATTTATGTCTGGCCTGAGAATTTCGTGCTGTATGAACATTGTTTTGATCGTAATAAAGAAATATGCATTCAAGAAAAGAAGGCAGTACAGTTTATTTTAGTTTGTTAATTTGATGAATGTCACTCTGTTCCAATGGTAATGGTGCAGAATGGAAAGATTTTCTGTTCTTTTTTGGTTTTAATGTTATTTTTTTTATAAACATATGAATATGCCGCTCATTTCTATACATAAGTTTTGGTGGGGACTGAGAGAAAATTCAAGTAGCCTTGGAGAATCTTTCAAACCTTTTATAAATATGAATTCGTACGCGACTTATGACACTCCAGTTTATATACCTATTTTACATTCTAGTATTACATGTGATGCTTGAGAGTTAGATTGGCTGATTCATTTCTACTCAATTGGAATGAGTTGGTTTTCTTTTATTAGGATGATAGGAAAATACAGAGGAGAGCTCTGTATTTTTTCAGTGATTTTTGCATTTATAACTATGACAACATAAAGAAGTAAAACATATAACCAAGCCTCCGTGTGTATGGTTCTTTTCTTTTTCTTTTTTTCTTTTTCTTTTTCCATTACATGTATAATTGACATCATTGCATATACAGGCTGTTAAATATTTTGGGATAAAATAGGACAATGAGTTCTTGATCTTTGAAGATCAATGTTCTTATTTGCTTTCTGAAAATGCTCCAAGGGAAATTATTACATCAAAAACTATCACAAAGTTGATGTTCTTGTGACATCCATGTGCTTAACATTGTTATTCCATGAGTTAATGTGTTGACAATTGCCATCCTCACATGTTTGGTGATACAACAGTATATCAAACCGACGTGATATTTTTTTTCCCTTTTCCTTGAACTTGTAGCGCGAGATATCTCAAGGTCCTGCAAATTCCTATGAGCGAGGTCACTGATAAGATGGTTGAGAAGCATGCAGGGTCACTTGTGAATATCACTGTCTTGGACATTAGCCATTGTTTGAAGATCACATGCAAAGGCCTTACATATTTTGGAAAGAATTGCAAGTCCCTCATTCACTTGAAACGGAACATGCCCCCACCAGAATGGGAAAATCCCACACAAGTGGTGACTTTTAAGATTGATGATTCCGAGGCAATGATCATAGCTGATACGATGACAGGCCTCCGTCATCTTCAACTTGGTTTTGGGCGTTTTGGTGACCATGGGCTTGATGCTATCCTTACCAAGTGCAAGGAACTTACCCATCTTGACATTCAAGGTTGTTGGAATGTGGAGATGGAGGGTGAACTTAAAGACAAGTGTGAGCGACTTGCAGTGTTCAACGGCCCTTGGCTTCATGATTATGAGTATGAAGGAATTTTAGAAACTGATGGCAGTGGAGCTGATACTAGTGATCAATCATCTTCCTCAGACTCGGATTAGTTTTTGGTTCTTTCATGTTCTAGTTTTTGACTTTTCACATCGTAAATGCATACATGATGAGATTGCGTATATTGGTATACAGTCCATATAGTAGAGGAATCTTAGTCACTTCTTTCTGATGAGATAAAGAAACTATAAGAATTGGTGGATATAATTATGTCATTATAGGATGATGGAGCTGGGAACTGACTATCTAAAGTTAGCCTTTTTGTATTTTGACTTGAGCATTATATGTTTGTGCACATGATGGAAAATGGTTTGCTTTCTTGTTCATTTTGTACGTTGCTTTCTTGAAGTGTTTCTTGGGCACTTAAGTATGTTCATGCTTGAATAATTTGACTGCATTTCAAAAAAAGCCAAATAAGTAACCATTTTTTCTTCGTAATATTTTTCCTTGTAACTTCCATAGAATCATTTAACTCTCAAAATCATATGTATGGCCTTCCTATAGAGAGTCAATTCATGTTACAAATGTTATGCATTAGACGCCAGTTGTATCAGTTCTTATTACAGGATCTAAAGGTGCAAGTCAGGTAAATTGTTGTTCGACAAAGAGAACTCTTTTTTTCTATTTTTGACAATTCATTGATGCGAAAATGTTTTGGAATACTCAATACCAGTGTTTTCATGTCAGAATGATCAACTACTGTCTCAATGTTTGGCCTGCTACGAATCCATTATTGACTCTATTCATCTGATTGACATTCCTATTAGATGTGGTTCAACCCTGCATGCTGCAGGAAAGCATACCTCAAAGGTGTTGCTGTAATTACACTTGATTAAGTAATGCATGTTATTTCAACATCTAGTAATGTTGGCGCCAGGAGATTTATGAGAGATGTTTCACCTTAAACGGGCACTAACTTAGATTTGTACTGGCACCAGCACAATGAAAAAACACTTGCTTTCAAGTTATCTCCATAGAGATGCCTCAAAATTATGTTGACTGCTATAACAATGTTAATGGAGCTTGAATTGTAAGTTTAATATTCAACCAACAACATTTCAAGACCAAGCTGTTGGCATGGTGGATGAGGAGCTCCCTTACCAAGCGTGATGCCTGGGTTCAATTCTTACTACAGTGAACTAATATTTTTTACTGATATGGATTATCATTATATGTTGTACGGAGGAAACACCTATCAAATGGTCCGTCCAAACTGCCGCTCGAGCGTAAAGGCAGCAACAAAAGCCCGCTCGAGCGTAAAACCGCCGCTCGAGCGGAGAGACCAAAACCTGGGCAAAATTTCAAAGCTTTAAAATACAACCAAGCTTTAAAATACAACCAACTAATTCCCAAAATTTCAAAGCTTTAAAATACAACCAACTATTGTAACCTTTTTTTGAAAATTTTTATGTTAGCGTATCCATGTTCGTGTCTGTGTTTCTTAGCCTACAACCTTTCAACCAACTTCAACAATGAGTTTTCTAGGAATATGCCCAACCTCGTCCTTAATACACAAATGACAATGGGTGTTCTATGCTCATCCTTACCCCAAGAATACTGTAATTAACACTACAACAAAATTGACTTTTTACGGCACCACTTCAACGGCATACAATAAATGCACGTCGTAGTTTCTCACTTTTACGACTTGCTTTTTTTGCACGTCGTAAATACTTTTCCAACTACGGCGTGTCTATTGCGTAGACCGTGAATGGTAATAGCAATGATTTTTTTACGGCTTGCAATGCACGCCATAAATAATAACAGTTTCTACGACGTGCATATGGCATGCCGTTAATACATCAATTACACACGATTCACATGCGTCAGCCGTAAAAAGTGAATACTTTTCATAGCTTACACAACGCCCACCGTTAAAAGTATTGCACTTTTTACGATGCACATATCGTCTGCCGTTAAAAATATTGTTTTTTTATGACACAATGCATGTCGTGAATTATATGATAAAAAAAAAAAGCGCCAAAATAAAATTTGGGGTGCCAATCACCAAAAAAAAATATATATATATTAGAAATTTTTTTTCCCAAAATAACTATTTTTCCTTCCTCCAATCAGCATGGATCACAAGGGTTTCAATCTCTCTCTCTCTGATGATGATGATGATGAAGGCCGAATCAATGGCTAGGGTTACCAGGATCATCTCATCTCTTCTCTTCGGTTGTGTATCTGAAATCAAAGGTATCTATCGTCGTCTCATGTTTCTATTCTCTTCTTGGTTGTGTATCTGAAATCCCTAATTTATTCTCATTCCCAGCCCAGTCCTGCCCTAGTTTTTTTTGTTTCTCTCTCTCTTTCAACGGCCGCAACACCATGTGTAGTACCCCATATTCGACGCACAAAAAAAAAAAATCAAAATACACAACTGTTTGGGTTCTAATGACTTATAATCATAAAGGAACATAGAAATGGTAAAGAGAGATGATTTGAAAAGAGACGGTTCGAAGTCAACAAGAAAGGGAGAAGAGAGAGGGTTTGAAGACGTATTTTGGGCATTTTGATCTGGAAGGGTTTCAATCTCTCTTTGGAGACTTTAACCTGGTTCGGCAGCGACAATAATCGGTATAATCTCTTCTAATGCTTTTACTGTTGCTGTGTACAGCTTTAGTGTGATCTAAGCTCCAGTTTGACCACCAGTCATTGAAATTGCATCAAAGAGAGGTAATTTTTTTTCTTCCTATTTTCTTTTCGAGGCTAAGCTATAATGGGAGGGATTTCGCAGTTCATGTGCATTACAAATCAGCATTTGTATTTGGCTTTGGTTGAATGATAGGCCATTGTGTTCCATATAATTCCAGCCTAATTTTATCTAGAAAATGATGCAATCAACTATTTATTTTTCACTTTAGTATTGGCTCAATATGTTTGGCTTTTTATTCAGATATCAGATACCACTACTAGAGATTTGATTTTTTGAGTGTGTGAGCGTGCCATTTATAGTATGATCAAACACAAGTGTGTGGTTGTAATACTTTCCACTTGTACAATGAACATTTTGACCTAGCTTCTGGTGAGTAGGGCTCCAAAGATACAACGACTGGTAACTCCACTGACTCTACAGAGGAAGCAAGCTAGGATAACAGACAAGAAGAAGAGAATTGCAAAGGCCAAGGAAGAGGCAGTCGAATACCACAAACTCCTCGCCACTAGGTTGATTTCCATAGCTGATTGATTATTATACCATTTTCATTAGGTAACAATTTTCCTTATGTCATTAGTTAATACAATTTAAAATGATTGTACATTCTTTATGACACGTATGTCATAAAAAAATGTACAACTCTTTTAAGCATCTTAACAAATGTCTAAAATCCGAAGTTATGAAATTGAAGGTATTTTTAATACTTCAAGACATTCGATGATGGATTCCCCAACTTGTTCATATCCAATGTCCACGGCATTCGTGGACAACACGTGGCCTTTCTTGCCTCATTTAGTCCTTCAGGGTTGATTTTTGAGCAACTCTTTGTCATTTATGCATTACCAAATCTGTTTGTCTCTTCATTAACACTCGTCCTTCCATTTTTCCCCACGGGTACTTCTGAGCGCATGGAGGAGGAAGGGGATGTTGCAACTGCTTTCACTCTTGCCAGAACCTTGTCTAATATACCGATTTCAAGGGGAGGGCCCACTAGTTGGTGATTTTTGATATCCATGCATTGCAGGTTGGTGCTGAATACTGGTATCACTGATTTAATAGCCTTTTCCATGTTATCCTCAACTGATATGGGATTGTGATTACTCTAGCTTCTTTGTTTCCTTGTTTTCTTGTATTTCAGGAGCGATTCTACTTTGGCGACAATGTTTTACCATGCTTTGAGAGCGGGATTTCCATGCTCAAGAATAGGCTTCAGGAGCTCCCCGATTTAGACAACATAAGATTTCTTCTTATGACGAAAACCATAAGATAAGCTATCATTTGTCTGGAATTAATTTTTTTGAAAATGAAGTGTCTGTAATTAGTTTTTACTTCTACAAACCAATGTTACGATGAAGTGCACCATGGGATGAAATACTAAAGACTAAGGGTCATTTCCTATTTCTGTTTACAAAAAATGATTTTTTTTTTTGTTATATATATATTTATAATGAAAATGAAAAAAGAAAATAGGAAATGGTGTTAACAAACAACCCAAAGTGTTAAAATGAACCCACACATATAGGCAAAATATCAAATTTCCCTCCATTTCATCCTGAATTGTGTGCTTGTGTAGGTTAGATGATGTTTTCATTCTCTCTCGAGATATCGATTGCTTTTCCAGATAATGGTGCATGGAAACGATTTCATAAGCAACTGCAACATTTCCAATGGTATTGTTCCTAATCATAATAGGGATGTTCTAGATCCTTTATCAACTTATTGAATACACATCAAATTTATCAAAACATCTCTAGGAATTAATTCCATTTTCAATTTAATTTTGCTTGCATTTTTTTATTACATTGTTACATATTGCGTTGCTACCTTCTCTGCTCTACTTCGAATGGTTATTAAAACCAATGTAATCATTTGATTTTTATGTATCAAAAGTTGCTTAGGAACATGTTTTTGTGTCCTTACCAAATATGTCATCACCTTGGTAGAATCACGTTTATTAGACCTTTATGATTCTTAATGTCCTACTTTATAGTGCATCTACATAACCCACTATATAGTTGATTTTCAGATTGTCCATTGAAATTGCATCAAAGAGAGGTAATTTTTTTCTTACTATTCTCTTTGAGGCTAAGCTATAATGGAAGGGATCTCTCAGTTCATGTGCATTACAAATCAGCATTTATATTTGGCTTTGGTTCATCACCATGGCTAAGAACAAAAGTTTCCTTGGTATCGCGGAAAGGTACTAGCAATTTTTTGTTTTCAGTTTTTCCAAATATGCTTAGTTTTAATCAATTCAAAAAAAAAAAAAAAAAAAAAAAAAAAAACCCCCCCCCTTTTTTTTTTTTTTTTTTTTTTTTTTTTTTTTTTTTTTTTTTTTTTTTTTTTTGGAATTTTCTAAGTCTTTTTTTTTTTTTTTTTGGTTGTTTTGGGGCTATTCTATACTTAGAATATTCTGCACATCTTTTACATGGGGACGGGGAGTG